GGCCATGCCGGAGGCACCGGGACAGCAGCTGAACCCCTGGATTTGGGTTTTCCCAGGAGGAAGACGAGGTGCCCGATGACGAGACAGTGAATCAGATGATCGCCCGGCATGAGGAGGAGTTCGACCTGTTCATGGTGAGAAAGAGGAGGAGGGGGAGAGGGAGGAGGGATAGGACGGGGGGGGAGGGGGAGAGGAGGAATATGTCATGAGGAAGAAGAGAAAGGAGAGAGGGAACAAGGAGAGGAGGAGGAGAAAAGGAAGCTCTTGCAAGGAGGAGGAAGGAGTGAAGGAGGCGGGGAGGAGGAGGAAGATCCTGAGGAGGAGCGAGATGACACAAGGAGGAAAAAGTGGGGGAGGAAGAAGAGAGCAAGAGACAAGGAGGATCCCCAAAGCAAGAGGAGGAGAAAGGACAGGAGGAAGAGGAGTAGGGCAAGGACTTTGGGCTCTCCATGAGGGAGAAAATAAAATGGGGGGGGAGAGCAGGGTGGGGAATTGAGCTGGCCATGAGCAGGACAAGTAAGGAGAAAAGGGGGAGGGAGAAGAGGGAGAGGATGAAGGAGGAGGAGGATGATGGAGGGGGGGAATCTCCTAGCTCCAGTACGGGATAAGCTCAGGAGCCCCAGGAAGAGAAGGAGACATGGCTGGGAGTGTAGAAAAAACCCTTTTCCCATCCAAAATTTCCATAGCCCAGAGAAGCGGGGGGATGAAAAGTGAGAGATTGTCCCAGCACAGGAGCCTTGCAGTGCTGGCAACATTCCCGGTTTGGGGAACCCCTCAGGGACCTTGTCCCACTGGGTGGGGAATGTCCATCCCCAGAATGCCAGCAATCCGGGACTTGATTGGAGGAGTCAGGCCAGTGGCTCCCAGAACATCCCCAATTCCCAAAACTCTCCCAGTTCCCAAAACAGCCCCAAATCTCAAAACTCCCTGTTACCCAAACTCTTTTCAGTTCCCAAAACTCCCCCCGATGCTTCAACTATGCAGCCTGTACTGCTTCCAGAATACCTCTGGGAGTTCCCAAATCACTCCCAGTTCCTGAAACTCCCCTAGCTCCTGGTGTAGTTCCTCCAGCTCCCAATTCCCAGTTCACGTTGTGGTTCCTGCAGTTCCCAAACTGGCCCCAGTTCCCAAAACTCCTGCAGTTCCCAGAGTGGCTCCTTCAATTCCCAGTTTCAGTTCCTGAAGTTCCTCCAGTTCCCAAAGAAGGCTCTAGGTGTAGGTCCTCCATCCCTGTCCAGCAGCATCCCATCACATTCCATCTCCCCTTGAATCCCTCCAATCCCCTGAAAACCCCCTTTGGTTCCATCCCTCATCTCTATCCCAAGTCTGACCCCTGTGACGGTTCTTTCTCTGGCAGCGCATGGACCTGGACCGGCGGCGTGAGGAGGCGCGAAATCCCAAGCGGAAGCCGCGGTTAATGGAGGAGGACGAGCTCCCATCCTGGATCCTGAAGGACGATGCCGAGGTAGAGCGGCTGACCTGCGAGGAAGAGGAGGAGAAGATGTTCGGCCGTGGCTCCCGGCACCGCAAGGAAGTGGATTACAGTGATTCTCTCACGGAGAAACAATGGCTCAAGGTATTCTCTGAGTGGATCTGCCTGGAAGGCTGGGAATGTGCCTGTGGGGGCTGGGAAAGGGTCATAGTCTTGGAGAATTTCCAGGGTTCCTGAAAAAGTGTCCAAAGGGCCTGGAAAAGGCCCATGGGATGTGGAAAAACACTCAAGGGTCCTGGGAAAATGTCCACAAGTCCCAGGAAAACACCAGTGGGGCTGGGAAAACAYCCACAGGTCCCCAAAAATGCCCACAAGTCCCAGGAAAAGGCCCACAGATCCCAGAAAACACTTGTGAGGCCCAGAAAGTTACACCWGATGCCAGAAGATGCCTGTGGGTCCTGGAAAAGGCCCACAGATCTCAGAAAAACATCTCCAGGGTCCCGAGAAGTGGGACTCCCAATGTGTCTGAGAGCCATGATCCCTTTGGTAATACCCATTTTTCCAAGACTCCACCAATCTTTGTGGGCCTGCCCATCCCCATTGGGATTCCCCAATCCCAAGGATCCTCATCGCTGTTTACTGCAGGCTATCGAGGAGGGGACGCTGGAGGAGATCGAGGAGGAAGTCCGGCAGAAGAAATCCTCTCGAAAGCGGAAACGGGAGCCTGAGGGTCCTGCGGGGCCCCCTCCGAGTGCCCGAAACCGGGACAAGGATGAGGAGAGCCGGAAGCAGAAGAAACGGGGACGGCCCCCCGCAGAAAAACTGTCCCCAAATCCGCCCCCACTCACACGGAAAATGCGGAAAATTGTCGATGCTGTCATCAAGTACAAGGACAGGTGAGGGGGGCCACGTGCTGCTGGGAAGTGATGTTCCCATGGGTGACACAATGTGGCTCAGAGGGGATGGGATGGGATGGGATGGGATGGGATGGGATGGGATGGGATGGGATGGGATGGGATGGGATGGGATGGGATGGATAAGGATGAGGAAGACCACCCCTCACTCCCATTTTCCCCCTGCAGCAGCAGCGGGCGGCAGCTGAGTGAGGTTTTCATCCAACTCCCATCCCGCAAGGAGCTGCCAGAATACTACGAGCTCATCCGGAAGCCTGTGGACTTCAAGAAAATCAAGGTACTAAAATCTGCTGAGATGTGTCGGGATCCAATGGAATCTGCTCCCTGGGCCCCCTCCTCATCCCTTTTCCCACCCCTAGGAGCGAATCCGGAACCACAAGTACCGGAGCCTCAACGACTTAGAGAAGGATGTGATGCTTCTGTGCCAGAACGCCCAGACCTTCAACCTGGAGGGGTCCCTGGTACAGAAAACGGGGAAAGAGCCCCCAGCATGACTAGGAATGCCCTGGAATGGCAGCTGGGAAGGGCTGGAAATGGCCAAAAATGGCCTGGAATAGCTTGGAATAACAGCCGTAATGGCTCGGGATGGCCTGGTGTAATCGGGAATATCCAGGAATTACCTGGAATGCCCTGTTTCCCCCCAGATCTACGAGGATTCCATTGTGCTTCAGTCAGTGTTCACCAGCGTCCGGCAGAAGGTGGAAAAGGAGGAGGAAAGTGATGGAGAGGAGAGCGAGGAGGAGGAGGAGGGAGAAGAAGAAGGATCAGAGTCTGAGGGTGGGTGTTGGGATGAATGTGATGGGATTGGAATGGGAGGGGATTGGATTGCGATGGGATGGATGAGGTTGGGAGAGGATGGGACTGGGAGGGGATGGGATGGAATGGAATGGATGGCGTGAATGGGATGGAGGGTCAGGATCATTTGGAGGGTCTGGATCCCCCCTCAGCCCGCTCGGTGAAGGTGAAGATCCGTCTGGGCCGGAAGGAGAAGGTTCCAGAGCGCGGGAAGGGCCGGCGCCGGGGTGGGCGGGGGGGACGCCCCAAACCCCTCCTGAGCGACGACGAGAGCGACGACGAGCAGGAAGAGGTGAGGGAATCTGGGAATGGCACTGAATCATGGAGAGAGCCTGGACCGTGGTAGTCACCCTTGATCCTGAGAGAATCCCAAATACTGGGAGTGTACCTAAATCCACTGAGTGACATCAGATTCTTCACCATAACCCCAAATTCTGGGCTGAATTACCCAAATGCCAGGATCCTGGCAGTGATCCCAAAACTGTCATCCAAACCTCCAGTCTTTAGAGTGACCCCAGACTCTGAGAGTGACCCTGAATCTCATTCTGACCTTCAAATCCTGGGTTGAACTACCCCAAATCCTTTATCGTGACCCCAGATGTTGGGCGTAACCCCAGCTCTTGAGCTGAACTCCGAAGTGCCTCATCTCATTTCCAAATCCTGTGAAGCCCCCAAATCTATGGCTTGACCCCCAAACCCTACCCTGAGCCCACCAAATTCTTCATCCTGGCCACCAGTTCCTCACGCCTTTTCCCCCCTTTTCAGGATCGCTCTGGCAGTGGCACTGAGGACGACTGACCCCATCATTCCACAGCTCCAGAATCCCCCCCAGAACCCCAAAACCCCCACCCCCATTGTTCCTTGTAGCTCCGATAGCAGCGACGCCGGAATTCCCAAAATCCTGAAAATCCCAAAAAAAACACGTCCAACCTCGTACATATTTATATCAGAACCAGCACTGCCGCAGCCACCAGAGCTCCTTGATAATCCAGGATGTGGGTGGTTCTGGATTGTCCTGGATGGACCATCTGGGCTCATCCCAGGTTCTGTGAGATGGTCCCAAGTTGTCCCTGATTCAGATTGTACCAAGTTGTCCTAGACTGTCCTAGATGGTCCTGGATTGTCCAGGGTGATCCAGACCATCCTGGGTGGTCTTGTATTCTCCTGGATAATCTGGGATTAGCCCAGGTTGTCCTAGGATTGTCTTGGATCATCCCAGCCTGTCCTGAGTGGTCCCAATCTGGGTCATCCTGGGTGGTTCCAGGTTGTCTCGGACCAGCTCCATGCCCTGGGATCCTCCTGGCTGATCCCACCCCCTGTGCTGTCGCTGTCACTGGATTCCCAGCAGTCAATAATTAATTAATAAATTAATCCAACAGGAGTGGAGTTGCCTCCGSGGGGGACAACTGGGGAGGGATCTGGAGCAGAATTGGGGGGTGCCAGAGGAGTCTCGGGGGGAGGTGTTGTTGGGCTGACTCTGGGGATTGGGGGGTTTCTCTGGGCGCACTGGGGGGTCCCTGGGGTGAGCCGGAGGGGGGTGCGGGGTTCGTGCCCCCCCATCCTGCTCCAACCCCCCCGAGGAATCACCTCCAGTGGAAATTCCATTATTAATCCCACGGGGAAAGAAGGAAAACATTTAAAAAGGGGTTCTTGGATGGGGGGGGGGCAGGGGTAGGAAAAGGAACCCTTTTCTGCTTTTCTCTCCTTTCACGGCTTTTTTCCCTTGATCCGGCTTTCTCTCTCTCCCTCCCAATTTTCCTCTATCTCGGTTTCCCTCCATTTATCTTTTTTTCTCCCTACATCCCGGTTTTCCAGTCGCCCCCGGTGTCTGCCTCTCTCCCGATCCCGGCTTTTCGTCCGTCCCTCCWGCTTTTCCCTCCCTCATTCCCGGTTTTCCCGCCCCACCCTCCGCCTTTTTGAACTCCCCGAGCTCCTCCCCCTGCCCGTTAAATGGGGCCCGACGGGACGCGCGGCCACGGGCAGGGGCGCCGGCAACACTGGGGCGGACCGGGATTAACTCTGGGACGAATCGGGACCGGCACTAAACGCCCGTATCCCTCTAAGCCCCGGCTCTGCTCACGATGGGCGCCAGGACACGAACCCCGAGTGGGAAAAGTGGGGTAGAGCCCAGGACAGAGTCCGGGATCAGCGGAAAGGAGCCGGGAAACAGCGGAACAGGACCKGGCAGCACCGGGATAAAAGCGGGAACAGCCGGGAGTGGATATGGGACTATCAGGGTGGGCTCTGGAACCACCGGCAGGATACCGGGAAGAACCGGGACTGGCTCCGGGACACCCGTGATCCTCCTGCTGCTTCTGGGAGCGGCGGCGGCGACGACACCGAGTGCAGGTGGGGGACTTTGGGGGTGCGGAGGAGGTCGACGAGGGCGCGGGGAGCCCCCGCACGCCCAGACCCGGAGCGGGGTTGCGGGGTTGCGGGGCGGTGGGAAAGGGGGTGAAAGAAATCGGGGAGAGGGGGGCGGGGAGAGGGGTGGGAAAATAGTGAAGGGAACCGGGGAGGCAAGGGGGTCGCCCCCAGACACACGATTGGTCCCCACCAAAGCGGGGACGCCACCCCTCCCTATGGGGGTCTCCCACGGGTGGGTGGAAGGTTTTTTTTTGAGCTCCCGCCGTGACCCCCCAACACCCCCACAGTCACCGCGGATCCCCACGTGTTACCCCCCGCCCCACGGGAGGGGCGGCCCCGCCTCCGCCGCCTCTGCGGGACCAATCAGCGCGCGCGACCCGCCTCGCCCCGCGACGGACACGATTCCCATTGGCTGAGTCCAGACTGGCCACCCGCGGGGGCGGTGCCTGCACCAGCCAATCAGAGAGCGGCGCGCGGGGAGGGTGCGCCTGGGTGGGGCGGGGGAGAACAGGGAGCCCCCGAAATGGGGCTAAAACATCCACAAATGGGACCGACCCCCTCTGAAATGGGAGAAACTAGGAACCCCAAAAAGGTAATCGAGACCCCAAAAACGGAACTACAACTCCCTAAAATGCAACCGGAACCTCCACAAATGGGACCAGAACACCCTCAAAGTGGGGTCAAACCCCTTCAAAATGGGATTGGAACCTTCATAATTGGATCGGAACCCTCAAAATGGTAATAATGGTAGAACCCGCCATATGGTGGAACCCACCAAAATGGGGCTAAAATCCCCCAAAACGGGACAGGACACCGTAAAATGGGGCCGGAACCTCGGAAGTGATTCTGGCATCCCTGAAAATGGGACCGGRACCCCCAAAATGGATCCCCCCGGACTGACACCCCACCGTTACCCTGGGCTGGGAATTTCCCCGGGGACACCCCGAGTTCGGGGAGAGTTTGGAGGATGTTTTTTGGGGGGAGGGAAAGCTGAGAGAGTCTCTGGAGGATTTTGGGGTCTCTGGGAAGGGGGGGTGAGGACCCGGGTGGGGGTGTTTAAGGAACCCAGGGGATATTTTGGCAGCTTGGAGGTATTTTGGGCGTTTCTTGGGATATTTCGTGTTCATTTCAGAGGTATTTTGGGGAAGCCTAACTGGATTTCCTCCCTCCAGTGCCTCCCCCGTGCCTCCCGGACCAGCTGCGCTGCGGGGACGGCTCGTGCCTGTCGCGATCCTTTGCCTGCGATGAGGAGCTCGACTGCCCCGACGGGGTGGACGAGCTGGGCTGCGCCCCCCCGCCCTCGCCGCCCCCCTGCGCCCCCTCCTTCTTCCGCTGTCGCGACGGGAGTTGTGTCCCGCGGCTCTGGCGCTGCGACGGCGAACGTGACTGTCGCGACGGGGACGACGAGGAGCCCGAACTGTGCGGGACCCCGCGGCCCCCCCGCGCCTGCCCCTCCCTGCAGTTCCCTTGCGGGTCTGGCGAATGCGTCCACGGGCGGTGGCGCTGCGATGGGATCCCCGACTGTCTCGACAGCTCCGATGAGGAGGGGTGTGGTGCGTGCCCTGGGAGGGAGTGGGATAGGATGGCATGGGGTGGGCTAGAATGCACTGGGAGGGCATACTGGGATGGACTGGGAGGGGTCCACGGGCAGTGGCGCTGCGTCAGGACCTGCTAATGCCGCGACAGCTSCGAYGAGGAGGGGTGTGGTGCGTACGATTGGAGGGCACTGGGCGGGACTGGGATGGACTGGGAGGGACTGGGATCTCGGGGGAAACGTCGCTGCTCCGTTGACCCCTCTGTGCCCCCCCAGCCGCACCCCCCCCGTGTCCCCCTGGGCAGCTCCGCTGTCGCGACGGGCGCTGCATCCCCGGGGCCCGGGGCTGTGATGGGACCCCCGACTGTCGTGACGGCGACGATGAAGAGGAGTGTCCTGACGGTACCGGCCGAGGGCGCTGGGGGAAGTTTGAAGGGGACTGGGGGAGAATCAGGCAGGGTTTGGGGGTATTTTAGGGGGCTCAGAAGGGTTTGGAGTCAAGGGGAGTCTGAGGGCTTTTGATGGGGGGTCTGGGGGGTTTGAGGGGAGTGAGGGCATTTGGGGGGATTTGAGGGAGTCTGGGAGGGCTTGCGGGATTTACGAGGGGTTGGGGGACTTTGGGGGGTTTGAGAGAAAGAATGTGGGGAAGGTTCAGTGGGTGTTTCAGGGACCTTGGGGGGTTGGAGGGGGAATTTTGGGGGTGTTTCACAGGTATCTCGGTCTCTGATGCTGCCCCTGTGCTCCCCAGCCCCATCGTGTTCGCCCCCGCACCTGTTCCGCTGCCGCTCGGGCGAGTGTATCGCGATAGGGCACGTCTGCGATGGGCGGCGCCATTGTCGCGACTGGTCCGACGAGCCACTCAAGGAGTGCGGTGAGGGGAGGCCCAAAAATCGCCCCAGGAGACCCTGAATACCACACACCCCCGAAAAAAAACCCACTGCAGATGCCCTGAAAACCCCAAATCCCTCCAGACAGCCACACTCACCCACCAGGCCCCCCAAAATTCACTGAAACCCCTGAAAGAAAATCGAATCCTCCCTGTATCTCCAAGCCCCCCTCCAACTCGTTCCAACACCCTAAAACCCTCTCAAGACCTTCTTCAAACCCTCCCAAAACATCCCCCTCAAAAATCCTCCAACCCCCTCCATATCCCCGCAAACCCCCTAAATGCCACCACAAAAAAACCCCAAAACCCCCTCTGCAGCCCCCCATAATCCCCCAACACCCCATAAACCCCCTGGCCCAGTCTCACCACCCAACTCCCCCCAACCACCACTTTTACACCCCCTGGCTCCTCCTCCACGGGACTTGGGGAGCCTTGGTCCCTTTTGGGGGAGATGATTTTGGGAAGTCTGACTCTCCTGTGCCCCTCCAGGGGTAAACGAGTGCCTGGTGGGGCGGGGGGGCTGCTCCCATGGCTGCCGGGACCTGCGGGTGGGCTTCGAGTGCACGTGCCCCCCTGGCTTCAGCCTGGACCCTGACAAGCGGACGTGCCATGGTGCGTGAGACCCCCCAAAATACCTCAACCCTTCTTCCCCAAAACACCCCAAACCCTCCCTGGGATACTGCATGGGACCCCTGCCTGGCACTCACAAATCTGCCCTGGGGGGTTGTAGGGCTCCCCAAGAGGAAAATGGAGATCCTGGGGGAATTTGGGGGGGGGGGGGGGGCCCGGGGGGGGGGGGGGGGGGGGGGGGGGGGGGGGGGGGGGGGGGGGGGGGGGGGGGGGGGGGGGGGGGGGGGGGTCCCAGGGGAGTGGGGGGTCCGTGGGGGGCTTTGGAGGAGTCCCAAAGGGATGTGAGGGGTCAGAGGTGGGGTGGATCAGGGGGTTCTGAGGGGCATCAAGGGGAGTTTGGGATTCTTGGGGGATTTGGGAATGTCAGAGGTTTGGGGGGCTGTATGGGGACKTTTAGGGTCCATGGGGGGTGATTTGGGGGGCTTGAGGGGTTTCTCTGCAAGGGGGTTACCCTGGTGCCCCTTCTAGGCCCCCCCGGGACCCTGCTGGTGAGCACCCGGCACCAGGTGCTGGCACTAGGGGGCCCTGAACCCCAAATCCTGCGGGGGCCCCTCAAGCACGCAACCGCACTGGACGTCAGCGTCGAGGCAGGGTCCCTGTTCTGGGGGGATCCCAGCGAGGGGCTCATCTACAGGTGAGGGACCCCCAGTGATCCCCTGGGACATTCCCAAATCCCTCTGGGACCCCCCAAACACCCCCAGGATCCCTCCCTGGGACCCTCAATGGCCCCTGGAGACTCCCTGGGACCTCCCCAATGCGCCCCTCCCACAATACACCCAAGAGTCCCATTAATGACCCCCCCAGTCCTCCCCAGTGACCCTCAATCCTTCCCAATTCACCCCAATATCCTCAATGTCCCTTCAGTTCCTCCTAGGACCCTCAGTTCCCCCCGCCAGTCTCTCTCAATGTCCCCCCAGCTCCCCCCAGGATCCCCCAATTCCCCCAATGCCCCCAGTTCCTCCCGCTGACCCCCAGCGCCCCCTAGAGGCCCCCTGGCTGCAGGGCCGGCGGTGCCGCTGGGGGCGGCCCCAGGCCCGGGATCCCCGGCCGGGATCGCCCTGGACTGGATCCATCAGCTCCTGTACTGGACCGAGCCCGGCTCCGGCCGCGTGGCTGTCACCGACGCCTCGGGGACCCGCCACCGGACCCTGCACCGGGACCCCCGGACACGGCCCTGGGGGGTGGTCGTGGACCCCCTGAACGGGTATGGGTTGGGGTGGGGTGGGGAGGGACACGGGGACATGGAGGGAGACAGGGGAATGTGGGGCAACACGGAGGGTGACCGGGGGCCAGGGCTTTGGGGACTCGGGAGGGTGACAGTGATGTGGGATGAGATGGACAAGAGGGCTGTGGGGAGCACAGGGGAGGTGTGGGGGAAAGGAGGTGCTGGTGGCACTGGTGACACAGGTGTCCCCCAGGTACCTGTACTGGTCGGACTGGGGGTCCCACCCCAACATCGCCCGGGAGGCCCAGGATGGGGGTCCCCCTGAGCCCCTGGTGACCGAGGATGTGGAGCGGCCCCAGGGGCTGGCCCTGGGTGAGCGTCCAACACCTGTCCCCAGATGTGTCCCCACACCAGAGCCATGACCCCAGACCATGTCCCCCAGACCCCTCTGACCGCACACCCAAGATTCTGCCATGCCTCCCTGATCTTCCAGTGCCTGTGCTGGCTGTCCCCATGTGTCTCCATCCCTGTGTCCCCCATGACCCCGATGTCCCCCCAGTGTTCCCCTGACCCCTCCGAGCCCCTCGATGCCCCCCTGACCCCCCCATGCCCCCAGACCAGTCCTCCCAGCGCCTGTACTGGGCCGACGGCCGCCTCCACACCGTGTCCAGCGTGGCCCTGGATGGGAGCGGCCGCCGGACGCACCTGAGGGACGCCCAGCACCTGGCACAGCCCCTTGGCCTCGCCGTCTTCCAGGTGAGACCCCCGGAACCCCCACAGGATCCCCCCACCATGTCCCCCCTTCCATCCTTTCCTGTCCCCTTCCCCTTTGACCATCACTGTGTCCCCCAGACCCCCCCCCATTGTCTCCTCCCAATGCCCACTCTGAAAGCCCCCCATTTCTCCCCCAACCCCCAATGTTCCCCTCCTGTGCCCCCTGACCTCGCCATGTCCCCCTTCACCAGGACTGGGCTTTCTGGACCAATCCCCCCCGGGGGTCCCTGGTGGCCGTGCAGCTCCGTGTGGGCCCCGCTGCCCCCCAGGTGGTGGCCCAGGAGCTTTTCAGCCCCGAGGCCGTCGTGGTGCTGCACCCAGGGAGGCAGCCAGCAGGTAAAACTCAAAAAAACTACCCCAGAATACCCCTGGAACCCCAAAAACATCGAAACCCACCTGAACCACAGAGAACCACTCCAAAAACATCCTCTAGGGAATCCCCAAAACAACCCAGGGACCCCTGAGACACCACAGGGACTGCTAAATTCCCCCAGGGACCCCTTAGACTCCCCCTGACCTGTACCTCACCCCCCAGGCCCCAACCGCTGTGAGGGTCCCGGAGATCTCTGCTCTTTCCTGTGCCTCCCCTCCCCTGCCCGCGGCCCTGGCTCCSCCCGGTTCAGCTGCGCCTGCCCCGATGGGGAGAACTTGGACAGTGATGGACACACCTGTGTCACAGGTAACCCCCTGAAACCCCCCCAAAAGCCCTCTGAGATCACCCCCCAGGCTCCCCTGTGCCCAGGTGACCTTCCCATGTCCCCCCAGAGCACCCCGGGACCCTGGAGCCCCTCACTCGGAACTTCAGCAGGATGGGAAACACCTCGACAGGTAATGGCTGTGCCCCTCTGCCACACCCAGGGGCCACAGCCACTGGCCACACCCTGACCGCTGCCGTCCCGCAGGTGACCTCAGGGTGCCAGGGAGGCCCGAGGGGGCCCAGCCAGGGCTGACGGCACTCGGAATCATGCTGCCCCTCGGTACGGCCATGCTTGGGGGGAGGGGAAAATGGGGGGGAGAGTTCAGGGGGAAAATGGAGGGTATCCCAAAGAAAGGGGGCCGGAAATGGGGGGTCAGGATAGGTTGTGTCCCTAAAAAGGGCAGGGGGACTCCAAAGGGCAGGGGGACTCCAAAGTGGGAACAGGTAGTTTCAAAACAAGAGGTGCTAAAAATGGAAGGCTTGGGGATGAGGGTCCCAAAACGGGGTGGAGGCAAAATCTGAGGGGGTCCAGAGGGAGGATTTTCAAAGGTAGGTGGTCCCAAAGGGGGGGGGGGGGTGCCCAAAGCGGGGGTCTCGTTTGTGGAGGAGCCACAATGTGACCCAGCTGGTTGGTCCCGTTGGGACCAGGCCATGGGGGTTCCCAGACTTTGGAGGGGAAGTCTTGGATTTTGGGGGTCACTTGTTGGGGGCGTCTTAGTTTTGGGGAAGCTCCATGATCCCCCCATACCCCCCAGGGCTGGTGCTGTGCCTGGGGCTGGTGGCCAGAGCGCTGTGGCAGGGCTGGCGCCGGCGCAGCACCAACAGCATCAGCTTCACCAACGCCGCCTTCCGGAAAGGCCTTGGAGACCCCTTGGATGGCGGGGGACTCGGGGACCCCCTGGTGAGTGAAAGGGGGTCTGGGGGCAATTGAAAACCCCCTGGAGAGTGGGGTGGGGTTGTGGGGGGCTGAGAGGGGGGCTTCTGGGCCAGGAGGGGGTTCAGGTAGCACCCCACCACTGACCCCACATTTCCTCCTCTAGCAGCCACTGACATCAGAGGAGGAGGAGCCCTGAGGATGTGGAGAAGCCGAGAGTCCCCCAGAGACACCCGGGGAGCCACAGGACTGAGAGCAGGGCTGGGAGCACACCTGGGAACACCTGTGTGCACGTGGACACACCTGGATAGACAGCTGGACACACCTGAGCACAGCGGGGAACACAGCTGGGCACACCTGTGCACACCTGGACACAGCTGCAAATAGCTCTGTACGCTCTGTCGTGGCTGTAGACACAGCTGGGAACAGCAGCACACACCGGGACATGGCTGTGCACAGCCATACTTGGCTGCAGACACAGCTGGACATACTTGTGCACAGCTCTCCGTGACTGTGTGCACCTGTCCAGGTGCCCCAAGTGACCCCTTGGGCGGTTTTTTGGGGTTTTTTAAAATACTGTGAATCCCCCAAACTGAGGCCTTGGGGATTGGGCGGGGCCTGGGGGAGCCCGCCCCTTGCCCCCCAATAAACTTTTATTTATTGACCTGTCCGAGGCCAAACTGGGGAAACTAGGAGCGCCTGGGCGGGGCACAGGGCGAGGCACGGGGAGGGGCCGGGGAGCGATCGGGCTGGAGCGCCGCAGCCTCAGCCSCAGCCCCRGCCCCCGCCCGGCCCCTCCGGCGCCRCCGCTGAGGCAGCGCCGTTTCCCTCCGAAATCGCCGCTCCAACATCATTGGGCACCGGGCGCGCAGCGACGCAAGCCATTGGCTGGGCGACATGTCAATCAAGGCTCCTCCCCTCCTCCATGGTGATTGGCCGCATCGTTTCCCGCCGCCGATTGATTCCCACGCCTATCATTCTAACAGAGCTCCGCCCCTCCACGCCGCTAATTGCGGTGCGCGAAAGCTCTGCCCGTGCTCCATTGGCTGCGCTGGCCGTCAGTCACGGTCCTTTTCCAATCGCTGCGCGGCGCGGGAGACAGGCGAGGTCACTGCGCTCTGTTGGTCGGAGTCAATGTCAATCACTCTTCGCCCCGCCCTTTCCCTGACTTCCGCTTCCTCACCCAATCGTGGCTTCTCGCTGGGCCGCCCAAGCGCCGCGCGCGGCGTGAGTGGCTGCGCACCCCGCAGTCCCGCCCACGCGCGGCGGCCAATCTGCGCACTCCCATTGGCCCGGCCTGACGCCACTCACGCCGACCCGACTCAATCGMGGTGCCCTGGAACTTTCCCGTCTCCCATTGGTCGCTGCGCGCTGCCCGCCGCCGCTGAGTGGTCGAGAGCACCGTCACTCAGAGCGTCCCGGCGCAGCGATTGGCCGCACGGCGCCGGTGCAGGCGGGGCTCCCCGCCGCGCTCCCAGCGTGCCCCGCGCGGCCCGAGGCGAGCGCGGCCCGTGCCCGTCGCCG